TTTGTGGCATGGTCGAGACTGCCCATGGATGTTTCAGAAGCTAATGCCAAGCATGGCAATGCACAGCCATCAAGTTAAATAGGACAGCAAGCAATATAGGATCAATAAGTACCAGCTGATGTTTTGTAATTCTAAGTTTTAAGTTTGAAAAGGAGTGTTGTATTGCTATTCTATAGGCTGTATGAAATAGTATGAAATGTAAAGATACTTATGTGTTTGCTTATGCAGTGAATATATCAGATCAACCCGGTTTTAACCGGACCATTTCACGAAACCATAGACATGTTACAATCGGAACTGTTCATTCATTTTATAAAACTTTTTTGAACCGTTGGATTAATATCCAACGGTGGGTGACTACAAATCTCTTGGACTTCGGTGGGTCCAGGAGATCGGGACTGTTGCATAATCTCTGAAGAAAAAAATAATCAATCAAATTGGAGATCCTTTACAAATGGAAGATTTTCATATCAATTAAGATTTTAATAATGAACTATCCATTTTAGCTTATACATTTGAATAACTAAAAGATCCAATCTAATCGAGGATAAAATAGTACATCCATACAATTAAGATCCCGAGATATGTGTGCTATTGTTACTAACCACTTGGATTACTGATAAACATGAGGTAAAAATAGTAATAGTTATCAGGAAAATGTGTATGACACAGGAGTTTTACTCATCTCCCTCTCACAGCCTCACACATCAGCCACTGAAACATTCAATACACACATAAGACACAAGCCTGCCTTACGAAATTTACCGTAAGGCACGTGGCCCCTTGCTTCAACCCCATCTTACCTCATTCGAACCACAAATTTTTCTTGTTTTGGCCAGGAATTTAACCCATTTTTGGTGCACGAATAATGTACAAAACAAAAAGAAACAACCCAAAAAGTGCCTTTTAAGAGCACTATTTTCAATTACAAATTTAGACTTTTTTTAAATAAAAAATAATAATATCACATCAAAAAACGTGTTTTGCAAATTACAATACAACACCCCTTTCACATTCAACACAAGGTGTTTTGCCTTTTAGGGTTTCTTAACCAATCGTCAAAAGCTGCATGACCCTTGCAGATATGGTTGACTTGAAAATAAAATCAGTTTGATCACCACCCCACCCCAACTTGTGACGTGCCACGTCAGCAGTTTAGTGTAAACAAATTTTACATTGGATTATCTTAGCCAGGGACGTGAACCATGCCTTCTTCCATAAGTCCAAAGCCTTAGATTCTATCTGCATTACTCTAATATAACACATTCCCTCCTATAAATATATGCCATTCTCATTGACATTCTTAATATAGAATTAAACTTGTTTAATTAAGTCACTGAGCTCTCTAAGAGTCACTCAGAGAGAGAGAGAGAGAGAGAGAGAGAGAGAGAGAGAGATGGATGCTCAGGTTGTGAAAAGTTCATCACCTCCTTCCCATGTAGGAATTCATGTTATGAGGGCAGCAATAAGGCTGCTAGCAGTTTTTGTAGTGTTTTTGGGGTCTCTTTTTGTTTGGTTCATGATGCCCACCAACACATATTCTCAAATTTGGCGGCTTCAAATCAGACAAAAGACTAACTCAAGTACCTATCTGGGGTCAGAAGGTTGTGATTAAAATCTTAATTATTATCTTTTTGCATGCTTTTGGTTTAATTTCTTAGGTGAAGGTTGCTTATAATCATACTGTATTTGTGTGTTACTTGCTGCAGGTTCAAATATTGTGATGTTCACATTTCCCATTTTGTTCCTTGCGCTGTTGGGTTGTGTCTTTCTCCATCTGGGAAAGAAGTTGAACGATTATAAAGTGGAAAGGTGTGTGGCATATGCAAAGCACGGAAAATGTTTATGTTATCAGACTCTGAATTTGGACTATTAATAGAAGCTTATTGTTCTTGCATGAATGTGTTGTTTAGATTCTT